TCTACATTGTAAGGTGATCCATAATATCTTACATACATGTAATAACATTTAAAGTACAATGTAGAGTAGAATTTGCGTCGCGGGAGTAGGATTTTGATTTCGTATTTTCGTTCGTGTGAGTATAGTCAGTCGTTCAAAATAATCAGTCGTTTGGAATCCTACTTGTCCTTGTTTCCATTACTTTTTTGACGAATTGATACTCTGAATCCTACTCAATCTTTTTTTTTTAATTTTTGTTATAACTTGTTTGTATTAATTTTTTTAGATATTTTATATTTATTTATCTTATGAATAATAATCTTTTCGGTGGTTAAATATTATTAATAAAAGTACAGTAATAACTAATCAATTAAATCATCTAATAACAACACATAATTCTTAAGATAATTAATAGTATCTGTATCTTCCTCTTCCTCGGCCTCGGTAGCCTCCCCTAGTCCTTCCCACCCGGGCTCCTCTTCCTCTATGACTATGGGCTGCATGTCCTGCTGGTCTATGGCCCCGTCTGCTACTCCCAGAATGCTGACTGAAAGCCTCACGATTACCACCTCCAGCTTGCTGACTGCAGTTATTGTTGTGACCAGGGACAGGCAGGACATAAATCCACTGTCCCCCAGCCAGTATCCAGTACCCCCCAAAGAGTCCTTCTGTAGGTAAAACTGGTAATGGGGGGGGGCACTAAAGGTTGATTGCTGGTAGTGGCTGGATTCAGTGGACTGCTGTTAGTGGCTGGATTGCTGGTAGTGGCTGGATTCAGTGGATTGCTGGTAGTGGCTGGATTCAGTGGATTGCTGGTAGTTGCTGGATTCAGTGGATTGCTGGTAGTGGCTGGATTCAGTTGATTGCTGATAGTGGCTGGATTCAGTTGATTGCTGATAGTGGCTGGATTGCTGGTAGTGGCTGCATTGCTGGTAGTGGCTGGATTCAGTGGATTGCTGGTAGTGGCTGGATTCAGTGGATTGCTGATAGTGGCTGGATTGTTGGTAGTGGCTGGATTGCTGGTAGTGGCTGGATTGCTGGTAGTGGCTGGATTGCTGGTAGTGGCTGGATTGCTGGTAGTGGCTGGATTGCTGGTAGTGGCTGGATTGCTGGTAGTGGCTGGATTGCTGGTAGTGGCTGGATTGCTGGTAGTGGCTGGATTGCTGGTAGTGGCTGGATTCAGTGGATTGCTGGTAGTTGCTGGATTCAGTGGATTGCTGGTAGTGGCTGGATTGCTGGTAGTGGCTGGAGTGCTGGTAGAAGTTGTGCCCTCCATCAGCCCATCAACCACCTCCCCCACCTGCTGCCATTCCCTTTCAGTCAGATCATTATCAGTGCGGCCTATCCTTTCAGCTGCCTTCTTCTTCTCCTTTTTTCCCATGACTGATAGTGATACTAATAGCTATCTAGGCACTCTATTTATATATAAAATTGTTTAATAACTTAATAATAACTAGCTGCATTTGGAGAGGTCCTTTTCTTAAATGTGATTGGTTGCATGATAGGATAGATGGGTTTGCATGTGCCATATCCCAAAGTCTAGTTAGGGTAAGTGTTGAACTGTGAAGTTAAGTTTCTGTCAGAAGTTGCAATTTTGTAACTTTTGACAGAAACTGAAATTCACAGTTCAACACTTAGCCTAATTAGACTTTGGGATGGCACATGTTTCCACGTGTACAATAACAGTCTAATCATGTAATCTATACATTAATAGTGTTATAGTATTGCAACCAAACTAACCAATTAAAAGTATAAATGTTATCAATCGAATTATTAGATATACGTTTTGAATCTTTCATTCAGAATAAAGAATGTGTTCTATGCTGCCACCCCTTCCTTGGTGAGGTCAAGTTGCTTCTATGAATGTGAAAGAGAGCACAGTCTTAATATTAATAAAGTGCATAATACAAGTGCATATTAGTTCTCACATGTGACTCACACATTTTAACAACCATTATATACCACCATTACTCAGCTGTCACATTACACTAATTAGGTTCTCTATTACTTCTCCATGGTTATGAATCCTCTATTCTTCTTTAAACAGTAACTGTGTAATAAACTGAGTGATAAAGTAAACATGATACCTTCCAGCTTTGTTAGCCAGTAGGGACAAATTTTATGTCCTAACTGTTGCCACCCCTTCACCACGGTGAGGTCAAGCTGGTAACGAAGGGGAAAAAGATGGCCATATAGCAGTGTTAATAAACAGTGTCTTAAGATTAATTACATAATCTCAACAATGACATTTCATGCATGATTACATAATTTATTTCTTATGGCCAATATCACAGTGTCTTATTCATTATTTATTATTTTGATTCTTATTATGGCCAATATGACAGTGCCTTATTCATTATTTATTATTTCTTATGGCATATCTTATTAATTCTTATTATGGCCAATATGACAGTGCCTTATTCATTATTATTCAATATTTCTTATAGCCAATAATAGACAGTGTCCCAATCTCATTCATAATTATTGATGTATTTCTTATGGCGAATATGACAGTGTTTTATTCACTACAAGCCATGTTCATTAAATTAATACAGTAATTACTAACTATTATACTCTGTCTCATGTTTTATGGACTACTTCTTTACATGTATTATGGCTATTATTTATTCATTACAAGGTATGACTATTACTATGACACTGCTTTAGTAATATGTCATTTTAAGCTATGGCCAATATGACACTGTCGCATTATGATTAATTATGTCCAACATGACACTGCTCTTTAATAATTCATTTTAAGCTATGGCCAATATGACACTGTCTCATTAATATTCATTAAAAGTTATGGCCTATATGACACTGCTCTTTAATAATTCATTTTAAGCTATGGCCAATATGACACTGTCTCATTATGATTAATTATAGCCAATATGATACTGTCTCATTAATATTCATTAAAAGCTATGGCCTATATGACACTGCTCTTTAAATATTTTAAGCTATGGCCATCATGACACTGTCTCATATTATTATTCACTTTAAGCAATGGCCATTATGACACTGTCTCATAATATTATTTGTTATAAGCCATGGCCATAAATATTATGCTGTCTCACTAATTATCATTCTTTTTGCTCTTTTTATTTTCGTTTTTTAAATCATCATTACATGCATTTTTATCACCACTGTTATCAGTATTAGCAATTTCTTTATCTGCTATTGATGTAACTACACGATAATGGTTCATGTTAACAAGGGTTAAGTATATTGCTGGTGAATTAGGATCATCATTACGTGTAAGTGGTGAATAACGTACCCATGCATTCCCCTCTTCATTATAGGAGTATATGTACACAATCAGTAAATCAGCCATTGTTAACATTTCGATATCTCACGCCCATGTATAATTCTTATCCATACCTTCTCCAGCAATATATTCTTTTACTTAATTATAGGGAGTCAGCCAACTACGTAGCCGATTTTCCATCGTAGGCATGTGTCTAATAATGGCCGATCTGATGAAATTTTGCTGAATATAAGAACCTGTAATGGCATGAGACAGAGCATTAAATACACAATTACCATCACCAGGTACATTAGTAGATCCTTTGGGTACAGTTAATTCTGTAGTTGGGCTACCCAACTTTGGTCTGTATGATTTAACAAATCCCAAGTTTAGGGCATTACACCATGCTTTTTGAGTAGCAGCATTGGGGGGATGATATTTTAAATTACTAGCTCTTGTACTCATTCCCGTCATCACACTATCATCATTATTATTATTATTAGTGACAAGTAAATAAGAAACATTAAAAATGGGAAATTAGTAGGATTGAATGGGGAAAAAAGTAAGGAAACAAGAAGGTACTTGCAAACTGGTGTGGTAAGAAATCCTACACCACTGCATAAAAAATAAAGGCTTCATATAGTGCTATCATAGTTGGCTGTGAGGATAAATTGCTATGCTTTTGGGTAGTAATCTTCATGCAGTGGTGTAGTGATTTCTTACCACACCAGTTTGCAAGTACCTTCTTGTTTCCTTACTTTTTTCCCCATTCAATCCTACTATTTTCCCATTTTTAATGTTTTTTATTTACTTGTTTCCATTCTTTTTTCTTAAATCAAGAAATTACATTTTGTTATGATTCTGTGGTTAGGTTAATTATATTCATGCTAATCACGTGCGCATAAATTAAAATGGCGTCAAACCACAAACCCACGCGTGGCTGCAGCTGGATTTTGTCTTCCATTTTGTTCTCTGTCCTCGCTTCTTTTAGAAACTACATTTGTGGTCCTTGACCCAAGCCCAGAGGAGTGATGTAAAAGTCACCTTGAGCTGTTCTCTAGTGTAAGAGATTATCCGGTGTATAGAAGAATGATGAAAGAAGAAGAAGAAAAAGTCTGAAGAATTTTGTAGAAATTTGAATTTGGGCCTGTTTTCCAGAAATGCTCCCACTACATTACAGTCCACCTTAAAGGTACCAGGACAATTGCTCAGTGAAGGAGAGCTCATCTAAGCCATTTATAAGGCTGTACAATGTAAGATAAAAGAGTTATAAGTGTTTGAAAATCATAAAAACGGACGCCATCCTGAAAAATCGACCTCAATCCTACATATAGGCTACCGCCTATATAATAACAGTAGGTGGTTTTTTGGGGCAATTAGCTTTATCGTTGTTCTTACTGTCTGATGGCCTACTTCTCTTATCACGAGCTACCTTTGGTGGTGGCATATTTTTTTGATTTTTTGCTTGTGACTCATCAATAGTTCCAGTAAGTGTACGCTTTCTACTACCACAATCTGTAGGAATGGCATATTGTGGGAGGTCTGGCCTGTACAATTGTCTCAACCTGTTTATTTCTTTTATGCTACAAGAGGAAACCATCAATGATTTGGGGTTGAAACATGTCAAATGGACACCAGACAGTGTTCGTACTCGTGATAGAGCAACATAAACCATTCATGCACTAAATACGTTTTCAGACAGATCAATGATTGCATTATCTAGTGACAGTCCCTGGCATTTGTGTATGGTAACAGCAAAGGCTAATATCAAAGGAAACTGGCTTCCATACACAAAGACATTTTTCATTACCATAAACTTTCTCTTGACTTTCTCAATCTCACAAGGATCAGTTATTCTATCAAATTTAACTGTTATGCGTGTTTCTGAAATGGCCTGCACTGTACCAAGTGCTCCATTCACTAATCCCTTTTCAACATTTACATTGCAACACTACATTACTCTAGCCCCCACAGCCAATTTTAATTTGGCTTCTAAACCACCAGTATTGTTAATATCCTTGTTTAATTCTTTTAACTTTTTCTCAACCTTTTTTTCTAAATCATCATCATCTTTCTACGTACATGTAAGTTGCCAGTACCATCAATTAAATTTGTGGCTCTTATTTTTATGGTAGGACTTGGTAGATTAGCCAGCATTGTTTCATTTAATTCTTTGCACATGTCTACTTTTGGAAACAGGCAAACTGGGGCGTTACCACCCTGTTGTAATATTTTTAATTTGTTCTCAATGGGCGTCGAAAATACCCTTTCGGAAAGTGTAGCGAGAGTCTCATCGTCTGGAAAGCCAAGTCTCACTTTGTCCAACATTTCCGAAAATTTCTGGTCTGTTTTTTGTCTTTCATTTATTGTCAATTCGTCATAGGTGACAGTATCACGCCATATGTTCACTGCACCCATACAACCAAGTCTATTTCAGTGTTGATGCTGTTACTTTGTCAAACACTGGTTGTCCACGAACTGGTGGCAATTGAAGGATGTCACCAACAAAGAGGACATTCTTGCCACCAAACCATTCGTCTGATTCGAATAAGTCATTCATTCTCATGTGTATGTAAGTGAGATAGAGGCTAGAAACCATGGATACTTCATCAATGATTACCATTTTCAGATCCTGAAGTTCTGTTTTCATTACTTTGTGACTAGCCTTTGGTATTGACCAGTATGAGGCACACTGTCCATCATGTTCTATTGGCAGCTGGAACAGTCTGTGTGCCGTCACACCTCCCACATTGTAAGCTGCTAAACATGTTGGAGCACAGACCGCACATGTCTGTTTGGTCAGTGTTGACCAGAGGCTTTTCACTAGTGCTTTAATTGCCTCAATAAGAAAAGATTTACCAGTGCCACCCACACCACTGATAAACATGTGCAACGGTTTTATACTTTCTGATTGCTCTTTTTCTTGTTTCGATTTATTTTTGTATTCAATTTGTCTGAAGTGATGAGATTTTACATGATCAAAGATGCGTTTTTGATCTTTATTTAGCATTGATTCTCTCTCTTGTAGAGTGAGACTAGATCCAGTGTCCATATCTCTCACGTCATTCATTGCATCTTTAATCTGTCCCATCAATTGTGGATTGTCGTCTTCCACATCATTTTCCTCTTCTCTGTTGGCTGCTCTGGCATCTTGTATGTCTTTTAATTTCTCTCTACATTTGAGCAACTTTCTGAATTTCTCGTTTGCTTTGACACACCTTTCATGGTCAACAATGTGGCGATCAAATGCTTCTTGGACAGTTTCGCCATTGTTTACTAACTCATCCTCATTTCTAAATGGCACGAAAAGGAGAATGATGGCATAATAGAAACTGTCCCTCTGATTTTCTTTATAGACATCAAAATCAATAAAATTAGGAAGGCGCTCCTTCTGTAATTCTCTATAGCATCGTTCGCCATTTGTATCTTTGCCACTGTAAGTGAGTTTGGCTACAAAGTCATAAAGGCAATACTCTTCATATTCTTGGGGTCTGTTTGGATAAAAGTGAGTGACAAGGCCCTCCCCATAAAAGTCTTCAGTTAATGGATCATTTGCTGCTATTTCTTCAACTTTACAGAGTTTCTTTGTTAAATTTCGTTTTCTTTTATGTGGCATTTCTACATCGATCCATGCTACTTCTCTCGATTTTCTGCAAAGTGGCTCGCCGAGTAATATATCACATGTTTC